TCATAAATAAGGGTTTAGGTTGTGTGAAGCTTATTGTCTCCTATTTTACATTTTATCTAAGATAAATGGAAAATTATGTTTTGTTTTGGGGCTTTTTATGACATTTTTAACCCTCTATCCTTGTCTTTCAGCTCCACGAGTTCTCCGGAGCTGATAAAGCTACACTAGAAGAAAACGTGATCAAACTGAGATAAGAAGTCCAGTCAACACACGGCCATGTTGAAAAAAATAAAAATGCCTCACATTATCATCTGTACATGATTCATGAGCATGAAGTCTATCTTTCACAGGCAATAATATCTCTACATATCCTTTCCTGTCTTAACAAAATATGATGCTGATAACTTTTAACTTTGTTTTTCTGAAAGTTTGACTTTGATCCCAAACTGCTTTGTATGTTTTGTGTTCAACAAAGTGCATACAATAAATGGATTACATCAAATCAAGAGACTTGATGGTATTTTATGCTTCAATAAAAATGGGAGAATAGTTTACACACCCATCACAGCAGCAGCTTTGACGCATTGTACAAGTACAGCTTCATTTCACAAAAAGATTCAGAGTTGAAAAACACATTTAAGTTCTGTTTAAAAACTGCAACCAAAACGATTGTACGCAAACTTCAAGCGTCACAATCTCTTTTCATCTCATGTCAAATGCTTTGACTGAATTTTTACAATAATTTCATTAAAAATAACACCTCATTTTGCATGTGCATTTGTATACATGCATGTTAGCATGCTAATTAACCCTAAATGGACTGGAGCTGTAAAATGACAAAATTGAATTGTCTCGATGATCATACTACATACATGATTTCCACAGCCCTGTCATAGACTGGTGACCTGTCCAGGGAGCACAGCAGCTGGGATTGGCTGAATAACAGCCACCGCCCATGAAAACATTTCCAGAGCAGTTACTGTGGAAAACATCTGCACAGAACTTCATGACAATCCAGCTGATCAGCCTGACTCTTACTCATTAAATTTATCTTTCAGTCTTTTTCACCAGCGCACCATGGAGCAGTGTGAAAACCAGCAAACAACCAGATGCCACGTAGCATTATGCAGCAAAGGTTTGGGCAATTTGCATAGGAAGTTGGGCGACATCTGAGAACTGCAAGTGAGAAGTTCTTGTGTTAGACCCTCCTACAGCCACCGAACTCACTTGTTCCCACTTTACACCAACAGGTTGTTGTTACTGTGCTTTCAAACACCAGCATTTGTGTCTTTTTTCAAATGTATGAACCGGTTTTTGATTAGGTACTGGTACAATGCCAATGAAACCAGTGGTTAAAACCGGCTTATCAGGCTG